CCCCTCTGCTATTCTTCTTTTCTGTAGCATATCTAGTGATGTTGAAGTTCCCACAAATCATCCAAGTCCCTTCACATACCCCTCTGATACCATCCATTTCCCACCATAATTCTTCTCTCTTCGACTATTAGGAGTATAATTCTTCTTTCTCTTGGTCTATGAATCCTCTGCATTTCTGCAGTCATTTAACTTCAATATTGTTAATTAGTGTTCAAAAGACACAGCACTTTCGTCATACAATCATACATTATCAATAAATTTAGAAGCCTGGATTATACCATCATCTATTATCCATTAAATCGTAAGTTTGGACTCTCGTGGTGGAAAATAGGGTAAAATGGATTAACCCATTGAGCTCCATCCTAATTATAAATACCCCATCTAGTCAGAATATAACAGATCTCCTACTAGCGATTTGTGACCTACCAGCCAAGCACTAATCATACTATGAATAAATGTTATGCACCAAGCTTCAATTGGTTAACAAAATGTGTTTGGGAAATTTGAAATTAGAAACTAGAAAGGAGGAATTGTAGCAATTCCATATGAGGTGCTATTCATGGTTAGAACTAATTAAGGGAATTTGCAAGTGCTGCATGGGCGGAGTTTACTTAACAGTAGTAGAAAAGGAAATTTCAGCCCGATTTAAGAAAGGGATAATACATAAGTATCCCTTTCAACTTGTTTTGAAGATTCAACTACACCTTTAAACTTTGCAGGAGACCTATTGCTTCCTGTCATTGTTTGAACTGCAATTCCTGCCATCCTGAGAGGTTTATAACCATAATAAGATGAGAACATGGTGGTTTTGCGCTGAGGCACCCGACTATAAATGGTTGCTGGACCCTTATGAACCTTAACTCTCAGCACATTCAACAATTTTAAATTTTTTTTTCTCCTCTTTTTTTTTTTTTTTTTTTTTGTATATTTTCCATCTAGGATTGATATATACAAGACATACCATTGTAAATGATTGGGTGTTCTTTTTATTTAGTCTAGTTAGGTCTTATTCTCTCTTGTACTTGATTTTGTCTTCAATATGTGCAGAACGGTTCCCACAATGTTCACCTTTGCCTTACTCAGGTGTGCTTACTTTATAGGAACTCTCTATTTGACCTTGTATTGTTCATGCCCTATTTTAACATCTGAAAATATATATTTTTTTTCCAGACTCTCGAGGTGTTGAAGATACTATGCCCAAAGAGGGCTCTACTAATTGGAATGACTCATGAATTTGACCATCACAAAGATAATGAATTCCTTGTGGAATGGTCTAGAAGGTATACTTTCTAAGTGGTCCTTTAGAGGACGGGGGGGGGGGATGCAAATTTTATGATTTAGCAGCTTATCTAGAACTTCACATGATTATTTGCTTGCAGAGAAGGTATACCAGTTCAACTTGCACATGATGGATTGAGGATCGCTGTTAACCTATAAAGAGGTATGATAATATCTCGGACATGTCTTCCATGATATAACTTCCTTAAATTATCTACTTTCATTAGAGAATATTAGGAGTCATAGTATATGACTGTAAACCAAGAAGCATGTAACTTCTCAATGATTGTGGTATACAAATTAGCTCTTCAATGTTATATTGGATTTTAGTAACAATCTAAGCGACTGCAATGTTCTTATTCTATGCACTTCGAAACCTAATGATTTTGACATCATTTGAAAATGCAAATTATCAGTAGTATATCTGTCAGTATGACCAAAAGTATTCAACCATGACTTCAGTTATCGTTGATTAAACAGCTAGTCATGTGATAGAAAAGGACAAGCTTAGTGATAGTCTTTCACGGAATGTCAAACTATAGGCCTTGATATAGAAGCTTCTTCTGCCTTGTTATTACACTATTCTAGATGACATCTGATTGGTCAAAGATTGCTCTGTTTGGCATGACAAAAAATGTTTTCTCAAGTTTAGTGATCTAAACTTGTACCAATGTTGTTTTAGGATGAGAATTAGTTTTCTCTAGCTGTTCTATTCTTACAACACTCAACTTGCTACCTCCAACTATTTAGTATTGTCAGTTTTTGCTACTTGGAACTAGTATCAATTGTTAGTTAACATATGTTACCTGCATTTTCACGACTCCCACAGTTACTACCTTTTATGTAAAATTATTGGTGAAATAGTTTTCTTTTGTAAAAAATATATACATACAAAACATTCCATGTTATAGCGACTAACTCATAATCTCAACCAGATGATACTGCGGAATGGACAAAAGAGAATATGCCTAAAGACTGAGTAAAGGCTCTGAGAGCATCCTTTTGATCTGTTAGTGCAAGTAGATTATATACATGGAAATAGTTGGGACATGATGTAGCATTGATGTCGATGTTCACCAGATTATACTTGTGTATTTTAATAATTTTCTCAAGAATACTAGGTGTATGGAGTTGAATATTAATCATTTGTTAAGCTTATACGAAAATGAAGCTTTTGATGGCAATTTCATTTTCATTTCCTGAATCTGAGAATTAGTACTCCGCTCAGGAAATAATGATAGCTAGAGCCTAGAGAGAGGTGTCAAAACTGGACCTCGCGACTTTTGAAGTCATTAGTATGCAATGGCGTAGTTAAACTGGATTGGACCAATCCGGTTTTGCAGCTGTAATAATTGTAGGAGCATAAAGGACTAGCAGATATGCACATAGATCTAACTTCAATTGCTAAATATATCATTTTAATATTCCTGAATTAAGAATTCTTTCTCGAGTTTTATCAAAGTTGGATCTAGCTTTGCAACATGTTCCTAGTGGGAGAGGAGGGTGCTTAAGTTCAAGGGATGTTGGCATTGATTTAGCTGATTAATCTTGTACATAAGTGGCACAATTACTTGCTCTAAATTATGATTTTAGGGAACAAATGAATGATTTGTTTTTCATCATTATGTAATGATATAATAAAATAAAAATATATATTTTAAACTTATGTCACAATACAATAGGATAGTGTATGTATATATAGGGAATATAATGTCGCAAGAAATTGATCAGGATTGTTGAATTCAATTAGAGGGTAGGAGTTGTAGATTCTGAATTCATTTCTACTCACAAACAAATACTTTATTTTAGGAATAATAAAGTAAAGATTAGAGAGGTCCAATGGATGAGGTGGCCACATTTGTCATACTCATACATGGTGAAGTCAAGTGATTGATAGTAACTTTGACAAACTTGTTGCTTTTAATATCACATGTATTTAGGTCCTATGTTACAAACTGCTTTACGTTCACTATTCTTCAATGGACTCCAATATTTTATGTGCCATATTTAAGGTTCAAATCATTTTAATATATTTGACATAAAATCACAATATTATTTTTTAAAATTTTTATGTCAAAGTTAAATTATAATCATTCTTATGGAGTAATATGTACGAAACACACGCAATAGTGGTGACGGTACTAATTTTAAGTGATATTTCATAAGATTTTCTATGTGACGAGTGATGATGATGCAAGAGCTATCTTAAGTGGCGGCATGTATATTATATCATAGTACTGTTTATTTTAGTGATAAATTGTATTTGATTAATTTAGTTCACCTCCCCATCACATTTTCGGTCTTATAGACCTTATCCAAAAACATGAGTCTAATAGACCTAAACTTAAAATTATTAATTTGGCTAGAGTTTGAATTTTAACTTATATTTTTTCCCTCATCAAAAACATAAAAATTCAAACATGAGTTGAGCAGCTGTGTCCGTTTGAAAAAAACCAGTTGGTTTTGGGGTTTGTAAACTAGGCATTGATAATAATATGCAAAATTTAAAATTATGTGCCAAGTTTTGAAATTTTAGAAAATTTGAAGTTGAAAATATACAGGTGAAATTTTATAGGCAAGAAAAATTCTCTTGTTATCTTTTATTGTGGTTATTAAAGCAAATACTCAACATGATTTCTAAGCACCTTGAAAAACCAAGAACATAAATAATGAAACAATATTTAATTCTATACGCACTACAAAAGCATATAAATTAATTTCCAACAATAATGGATATGCTCAAGTTGATCATTCAATTATTAATCTTTTCTTTTTTGGGGTGAAATATGAAAGATTTCTAAATTCATATTAGTCTATCACGTCCACATTAAAATGAACAGAAATTACAAGTTGGCAGTCCAAGTTGGGCTGCGGGAATGTTCCAACAAAAGTTGCTAACAATTTTGACTATTTTTAATATGTTTAACCAAATTATTTGGAGTTAGATTTTTATCCTCGTACACACGTATTTATTTTTAATCTATTAGAGCATATTATTGATCGACTCATTTTTAATATAATAATCTCAATTACTTTGAACATTTACGTGAAATTATTTTTTAGGCAACTTGATAGTTTAAAATTTCTCACGGTGTCAATCTATAGAAGAACTCGTTATTTATGTACTAACAATGAATTATTTTTTGTTACATTATCATTTATCATGGTTACTTAATTGAATATTATCATGTTATTTCTTTAATTTTTAAGATTATCATATTAATTTTTCAATTATATATGGTATTAGCAGTTAGTACAACATGGTAATGAAATATTTTTAAAATCACGAGGATGCACAAAGACATAATTTACCTTTTGGGTCTATTTTACCCTTGCTATTAAATACTATTTATCATCTAACATATTTTTCAAAGCATTAAATTTAATAAAGTCAAATAATAATATAATAATATTACATAATAAGCCCAATATTAAAAGTGATAAAATTGAGAACAAATTATTCAAACTAGCCACTCATATGATTCTAGTCAAAGTGCATGCAAGACCAAATGGGATCCTTCCAATTAACATGTTTGTCTGGTAGTACTAAAATTCTTTAAATACACCATTGGCCAACCAAAGAAATATTATTAATATATGACTCATTGCATGCCTTGTTTGAAACACAAACTAATCAATCAGTCCAACTAAATCCAAATTTGAAATATCCTTTTCTATTTCTTGTACAAATACAAATGAATACATGATTAGAAGAGAAGCTAAGACAAAATAAGAGAGGAGGATCATATATTAAAATTAAGTTAAATCGAGAAGCTAGAAGAATATAAATTATGGCTTGTTTTTTTCCATATAATAGCAGAAACTTGGATACAAGTTTCTTCATATTCAGGCCAACAATAGTGATTGTGGATGATCTTGTGGAAGCTCTCAAGCATTTCTCTTTTTCTACTCAAAATCTTGGATGTGTGCAAAGTGCTATTTTTAGAAGCATTCATGGGAATATGGTATGATCATCCTATTCACTATTGAGTTGAATTCTCTTTTACTTAAATTCTTTTATCAAGTTTCTGGAAATAAATTGCTAGGTGGTAGCTGTCTTGTACAGTTTGGAGTAATCGGTGTACGTGCATACTCCGATCATACTAGGAAAATATTTGACTCTATTGAATATACAGGAAATACTAGGTAGCATTCTATCGATGTCAAGTCATGGACTTGTTTCTTCAACTATTTTTCTATATGTTGGTGCTCTATATGACTGACATAAGTGATAAGACTCGATTAGTTTAATATTATAGAGATTCAGTAAGCATAGTGTCAAATCTCTCTACTATTTCCTTCTCTTCTACTTTGGCCAATATGAGTTCACCTAGTACTAGCAACTTTATTTCATAATTTCTCATTTTAATTGGAGCTTTCCAAAGAAATAGCTTAGTAGTCGTATTACCTGTGCTTGAGATGAGTTTGGACGTGGCCTATTGCTAGTAGCAAATTCAGCATTTGAAGGTCGTGGGGTGCTCACCTTTCTTTAACATAAAATTGCTAGTGATCACAGAGTACATAAATATATAACAACTCGAGCACGTTAATAAAAAATTACATGATAAAACAACGGTTAATTTATCATCACCAAAAATAACTTATAATCACAAGTTACAATAAAGAAAAAGAGACCAAAAAGTTTTTACAAATAGAAAAAGTAAATTAAAAAAAAAAAACTAAATGACTGCGAAAAATCAAAAAATAAAAAGGAGAGGATAAGTATGAAAAAAGAAATATTAATTGGTAAGAAAAGATGCGATTTGGATTTAAAAATATCACTAGTGAGATTCAAACTCATGACTAGTAGGCACCTACACACCGTCAGAACCAAAGCAACAACTAGTTTTTTTGTTCAATGGGTGCTTCTCTAGTTTTTATATCCATTTTTCATAATTTCTCTATAGAATATATACAAAAAATTTGTCGGAAACTCAAGCACCTCTAATGCTCCATGTATATCCCCACCTATTGCATTTTGGCTGTTATATCGCGCGTGTGGTTAAAATAAATAAATCAAAATTTTAAAAAATATACTTATTTTCAACCTAGTTTTCAATAATGCTTCGAGATGTTTACATCATTTTTAATTGAAGATTTTTTTGAGATAAATTGAAAGAGCAATCACCAAGTCACAAACTTTATAAGGTACTCATTCAAAAAAAAACAAAAGGGGGACAAAAATATACCATGCCTTTAGAAAAAAAATTGCAAGAATATAATGCCTAAAATTCGAAACTATTACACCCTAAAGCAATTTGTGACCCACATTTGCCACACTAGAAGTTTACGTATGTCAAAGGGGATTCAACAATCCTGTATATATATATATATATATATATATATATATATATATATATAATGTTTTTATCGTATTTACAATGTATAATTATTTGACGAAGAAGATTGAATTGCACCCTTGTGAACAAAGATAGGTATGTATATGCAGAGGCGAAACCAAGGTTAGGAGTTTGGGGGTTCTAAATCAATTCATTTGGAGGTTCACAAGTTAATATACATAATTTATTTAATTTTCTAATACAAATATAAGGTCTACGAAAAAAGCTAGTGGATTCGTCCGAACCCATGAACCTCACCTAGTTCCGCCTCTGCATATATGTAATAATTCTTTTGTAGCTTGATTGTTAATAGTGTATTTTTGGGGAGTGCAGATGGTATGGTATGGAGCATGGATAAAGAGATCTACTGAGAATAAGGACTCACTGGCTGCAACTCTTGTAAGTCTAATTTAATATTCTCTTTTGTTTTACCTTAGTCATCAACTCATAATCTTAATTTTTCATTAATTTATTATCTGCTTGAATTGGAAAGAAAATTATTGGAGAGAATTAATTGATTCATGTTCTAGCTCTAGGACTCTAATTTCTTGGTTATCACCTTAGGCTTGCTACGAAGAGTTACTCGTTGATTCTAGTCAATATGTTGAAGGGACCCTCAAAGATTGGGGTAGGATGGACAAAATTAAATCTCTTCACTCTTAATAAGAGGTCTTGAGGTTCGAGCCTTGAGAATCAATAAAATCTTCATAGGGAGCCATTTTCTCTTTTATGCCAATATGAAAAAGTTCCTCTTTTGCCATTTGCCAATCAAACAAAGAAATGAGGGATATCTTTAACTAACTTCCTTTCATTTATTAGTTTCAAACAAGCCAGGATTAGCAGTTTGGGGGTTCTAAAGAAGAGAAAAGGAGCTTGGGTTCTAAAGAAGAGAAAAAAATATTGCAAAGTATGCTTTCTTTTGAAGGAAGAGAAACTTTTGCCAAGAAATTTTGTTGAAAGTGGGGTTTGAACCCCCAACTCTAGCGTGGGAAAACATTTTTATTGCCCCTTCCGTACCACTAAGCCGTTAGTTAGTTTTGTTAGGGGGTTACAAGTTTATATATATATATATATATATAATTTTCTAATACAAATACAGGATCTACGAAAAAGCTATTGGATTCGTCCGAACTCATGAACCCCACTTATCTCCACCTCAGTATATATTACACTTTTAAGGTTTGATTGCATATATATATGGTGATTACATTGCTAATGTTACTCCACTTTGCTTTGATTAGCTTTCAATGTTAACAAGTGTATCAAGCATGGCAATCCTACTAGAACATGGCTTCTTTGATGCATATGCTGGAGAATCAAAGGATCATTCCCCCGCTGCGAAATTCTACACAGGGGACATTGTTTCCATGAACTCTGCCTCTTTCTCCCATCACGACATCATGCCAATCGAAGACTTTACATACGCGTGCTTAGCCATTTTTAAGGACCGGTTCCACAACATGAATGGCGCCGTTTCTGGGGTTTGCTTCAAGTCCCAACAACTATCCAAAGTAGCCGCGGTTTTCGTCTGGAAATCCTTACAATGTTGCTACAGTTACATCTTGAATCAAGATTCCAGGAGTGTTCTTCCTTATTTTGATGGCTTTTCACTAAATTTAAAATATGATGTGTTTAAAGTTGTTTATGTTAGTGGAGATAGTGCCTTAAATTTTCGTATTTTTCCTCCACACAAGATGTTGGAGGGCAAACAGGGGTTGCACAATGTTGCTCAAGAACTTAATAGAATTTGTGAATAAAAAATGAAAATAAAGATTAGTAGGTAAGTACTACTAGTATTGGGCATAGAGACATCATGTGGATCATGCCTTCAATTTTGGTATGTAATCCATAGCTATATTATGAGGAGAATGAATTTTTTCTTTTTCTTATTGGAAGAAATGATTCAATTAGTTGCTATTTTTCTTAGTTCAGAATCATTTTGTGCTCTACTAGTTTAAATATTCATAGCTCCTCATATTTGATCAGAGGCGGAGCTAGGTGGGAGTTCGTGGGTTCGGACGAACTCAGTAGTTATTTATAGTAAAAAATTAATTTTATATATATATATATATACATTAATTTGTGAATCCCTAACAAAATTGATTGACGATTCTAAATGAAATTTAGAACCCCCAAACTCTTTATTCTGACTCCGCCTCTGTATTTGATAATTTATTTTCTCTCTCACCATTTCAAATTCATGTGTCCAAAGTTCCTTTTCTATCTCTAGATTGTTTATTGCGTATGTATTTATGAGGAACTTCTTCTAAGAAAATGACTTGTATTTTTTTATCATCATTGAAAGTAATATTCAATGACACAAGAATCTTCTCGTAGCAATCTCCACTATGATTTCAACACAATAATGTGGGAAAATGTGAGAACTTATTATAGGTAACAAAATCAACCCACTAGGAAGATAGAATAAAAGAAAGTATTTGAAAGAGGTTTAATCATGTAATCAGAATAAAATTAATCGGAAATTACATTGCAATAACCGTTGATGATGACAGTATCACCATAATTTATCTAGCTTTTAAGACACACCAAAGAAGAACTCCGGATCAGAGTGTTAATGATATGATCCAAAACGAGTCATAAGTGGCATCCACACTTAATCTTTTAGGTGGACGAACCACGAATTCAAAGTCCAACTTATACTAGTTATTCAATTTATGAAATACGATAATAATGCGGAAACTCAAATCTTATTAACGTGAGAAATAGAAATCTACTAGAGTCTATTAAATATCATTCCCAAAATTCAAAAGTCATCACATCAAGGACATCTAATTCCAAAATACTAAGTCTAAGAGTTTTAAAGGCACTAGAATAAATAAATGAAGCAGTTTGTGTCCAAAACCTAAGGACATCATGTCATGACTGAGAGAATCTAACATGAGCTAGAATGAATAGCTCACCCTGAAACCTGATGTGCTGGAGACTAGCTAGAGTTGAGGGCGAGTTGAAGTCGCTGGTAGACTCGTTGCACTCCACAAAAGGAAAACAAAGAAAAATACAAGTAGGGGTTAGTACAGGACAACTGTGCTGAGTAGATATCATCGGCCGACTCAAAATAGAAACCAATATGCATAAAGTAGTAACATGAAATCAACTATAGCACTTAGTAGGTGGCAAACAACAAACAACAGAACAAGTGACAAAAATAATAAAACAAGTGCATAATTAGTCACAATATCAAAAACATACGTGAGGACTCATGCCTCCACACTACGATCTTGTGGAAAATGGGTTATTTGAGATTGAGTGCATTAAGTTATTTAATATGTTTTCCTTTAATATTATCGTGCCGGAACGTGAAATCCGATTCAATAATAACGTACCGGCTCGTGGCACCTGATCCATATATATTGTGCCGGCTCGTGGCACCCGATCCAACAATATAGTTAACTTATCATTCTGTATCATCACTTTCCACTTCATTAACACTATTTCATCATGTCTTCTCTATTCAAGGCATCACTTTGATAGAGCAAGTTCAAGATTATGAATTTCACAGTCTTAGAATTTCAGACCAATCACAACAACACATAAATCATCCAAACAACAACAATTAAGTACATAGAAAACTTCACAACATTACTCTATGACTATCGATCACTATTAAGAGTCTCTCTATCACATAGAAAAAAATCATAACCTACCTCAACTGAAGAACCGAAGTCAAACAAGTTAATTCCCCAATGTTTTCCCTTTCCTCAATGCCTCAGAAAGTTTCTAATCTATCAAGTATACAATATTCATAAGTAAACGAGTCTGTAGACACCCATATTACTATATATCTAGCCTAGACTCAATAACCCATCCAAATCTATAATCAAATTCCTAAATTTTGATACCAACTAATATATCAAATCTCATATGTTCCTAGTTTTTCAAGCCTAGGGTTAAGTTTTAATTCCTCAAAATAACAGAATTCTTGTGAATTTATAATATAATATACTCAATAGTTAATTACTTAATTTAATATATCAAAACTTAATTTATATTATGATAACAAAATAATACTATTTAAAATTGATGTCACTGGTTACCAAACCAGGTAACCAGTGGAAACAATCACGAACTCAATTGTCAACTAATGATGGAAGACAAAAGTTTGTCTCCCCAAAATTAACCAGTAATCACGTTATGTCAATTTCAATTCATATCTAACCATTAAAGATATAATAATATAATAAAAAAATCCCCCTCCAACCATTAATACATATGTAGGATACTCTTGGAACTTATTAAAATTTTACCTGAAGGCAAGCCGTGTTCCGACCCCACAGTTAATGTTTCTGTTTCGTTCTTTACTTTCCTAAATAAATAAATGTGTAAAAAGTGACAAACTCTACTAAATTATTTTAATAAATATGGGCCAAGTAGTATAAGATATTAAATAAATTTTATACTTGGTTGTAACACCTCAAATTTAGAAAAAAAGGAAAATGCAATTTTTGGACTGAGGTCTATGTCTACGGGTCCCATCTACGGACCATATAAACTTCTACAGTCGTAGATGGCAACCATAAGAAGTGGGAAAAACAATCTTTTCAAATCAGTGTATCCTTTTTACGGTTCACCTGAATGGTCCGTCACCCTATGTATGAGTCGTAGGTAGATCTCGTAGGTGAGTCCCAGACTTAGTGAAATTTTAAGGCCAAAAGTTGGTTTCTACGTTTGGCATGTACGGAACGTGAGAAGACCTACGAACCATACATGAGATCAGTCAAAGATGGGTGAATTTTAAGGTCCCAGTACTTGGTCTACGGTTGACCAGTACAAACCGAAGAAAGTTCTACGGTTCGTACGTCTAAACCATAGATCGAGTCGATAGTTAATTTTTAATTGACTTTTGGGTCTTTTCCTAATTGTTTTAACCCAATCCTATGTTGTTTTAACTTCTACCCTAATCCCTAAATAAACGTTTTAACCCCCAATTTACCCATTTGAACTCATTCTCCTAAATTTCCTAAACTTGGCCAAATTCATCCTCCCAAATTCTCTCAAATCTAAGGAAGAAGAAGAAGAACTAGGGTTCCATACAATTCTCCAAATTCTTTATTTTCTTGGGCTTAAAGGATCAAGGTATGTGTGTATTCACCATGTAGTCCTTTCCTCCATGGGGTCCCCAAAGATTTCAAGTTCCCAATTCAATCTTCAAATTATCAAATTAGGGTTTCAATTCAATGAATGCGAGTTTCCTCTAATTATGATTGATTATGATTAATTAAGTTTTCTAATGCACTATTTGATGTTAACCTATGATGTTCAGTTGAAAATGCACATTTCCATGCGTAAGTTATGCTTTTCAACCATGATCTTATGATAAACCCACGAACTATGAATTATGAATTTATGAAGATACACATGTTTTCATGAAGTGATTGTAAATAAATTGATGATGCTTTGAAAGGAAAGTGTTGATGCTATTGTAGAAAGATTTCTCACTTACTATGATGATCGTGATTCTGAAAGGTATTTCTCACAAATGAATTCACATTGGGGAAATATTTTCTCATTGATGTTGAATTATGTTTAAGGAGATATTCTATGTTTTGATCTTTAAAATGAAAGTGGATTGGTATTGATCATTGTCTTTCACTATGTTAAATTGATATTTTACTTTTATATATTCCGTTGGGATTTTGACTTACCACTGAGTGGGCTTTGAGGTGGAGGCTCAGCTAGGGTAGTCTCTAGTAGCAACCTCTAGTCCTAAAATACGTCCCCCCATAGGATATGTCTTAAATAACCTATAGTGGATCCACTTTAGCAAACGATGATATGTACAGATTGTGTCAGTCACTAATTCACTATTAACGTGAACAAAGCCACGTTGTGCCAGTCAATAGGACCATGTGAAGGAAATCATGACATTTTCTTTTGTGGAAAAATACATGTATACTTTTATATCTATTATTATACAATACATATACACCTTTAAACACGTTTATACATATATGCATACATTGTATGTATGATGTATATGTTATGAATAACCATATATCTACCTAGGCAAATAGTTTCCCCTTCTTTCAGTATGAGGGATATACCAGATTCCATGATATAGCTCTCATGGTCTTATTGTAGGTTAAAGCTAAGATTCCACAAAATGAATATATTTTCTTCAAAGCTTTTCTTATGTCCTTTATGTTAATGTATTTGACTATGTTTTATGATCTTCATATCATTTCTTCTCAAAAAGCTTATAAATGTTTTATTATGATCATGCATCTTCGTTTTCAGCCATTTATATTATCATGTTCATGTTTATGCATATTGCATTATACTAAGTACATTCCATATACTAATGTATACTTGTGTCTACATTGTTTTACAAATATAGGGTCCGACGCTCCTACTTTCCATATTCGTGGTGAGTTGATTTCATAGATCTTGAAGATCGATGAGTCCTTATGTTCCGAGGTCCAAGATGCCTTTTATTGCTTTATGTCATATCTTTTTAAACTTTGTATATGATGTATGAGTTACATCCTAATCACTTTCCTTATGATGTATTAGATGACTTTAAGACTTATGTTAGACTTGTGCTTTTGTCAAACTTTTTTGTATGAAATACTATCATTTGAACTCTCTACTTCTATTATCTTGTATGATGTATGCTAAGTGGCTTGTGTAGGGCCTCTTGGGGTTCTATATGCCATGTTACGCCTAGGGTATACTTTGGGTCGTGACAAACTTGGTATTTAGAGCTCAAGGTTTAGAAGGTCCTAGGATGTATTATAAG